CGGCCACCTTCAAAGAGTAGGTCGGCCCTACCATTTTCTCCCCACGGTATCTGTATCAACTCCCAAGTCGCGAACCCCATCAACATCGCATGGACCTCCAACAGATACTTCTTCATGCGTTTCTCCTTAGCTTCATACTCGCCCCTGATCTGTTCGACCACAAGCTGAGAGTCCGAGTGATTGATTACTTGTCGGGCCCCTTCCTTCAAAACGAGCTGAATCCCCTTGATGAGGGCTTCGTACTCCGCTTCATTGTTCGACACTCTAAATGAAAGTTTCAACGCGAACTCTAAATGGTCCTTCTCGGTTGTGACCACCAAGATGCCGAGACCTGCTCATCCTGCAGCCGATGAGCCATCGACATACACCATTCATGGTCCCTTCTTATCTCCAGTGTGCACTCTTGTATGAAGTCGGCTAACGCCTAAGCCTTAAAAGCTTTTCGCACCTCGAAGTCAACATTTTACTCGCCTAGCTCAACTGCCCACTTCACCATCCTTCCCAAGGCCGAAGGACGACCCAAAGTATCTTTGAGTGGGTAGTTGGTCCGCACCATGACCTTATGCGCTAGAAAGTAAGTGAGCAATTTTCGAGCAGTGGAGATGAGTGCCAAGGCGGCCTTCTCCACGTCTGAATATCGGCGCTCGGCCCCTTGCAATATCCGACTTGCATAATATATTGGCTTCTCCTGCCCATGCTCCTCTTTGATTAATACCGAACTAATAGCTTCATGCCCCACCGACAGATATACCACTAACGTGTCGCCCAACTTTGGCTTTGTAAGTAGAGGGAGCTCAGCCAGAAACTCCTTCAACTTTTCGAATGCATGTTTCGCGTGAGACGTCCACTCGAAACGCGACCCCTTCTTCAAAGCCTTAAAAAATGGAAAACTTTTTTCTACGGATTGAGCTATGAACCTGCTCAACCCTGCTAGGTGCTTGGTCAAGATCTGCACCTCTCTCAAGTTCCTTGGTGGCTGCATCTCGATGACGGCTCGTACCTTCTCCTGGTTGACTTCAATGCCCCTCTCCATTACCAGGTAGCCCAAGAATTTTCCCGACCGTACCTCGAACTTACACTTAGCCGGGTTGAGCTTCATGCCATATCGCCACAAAGTGTTCAATGTCTCGCACAAGTCTACCACATGATCGTCCGCCTTGTTGCTCTTCACTTGCATCTCATCGACATAGACCTCCATGTTCTGCCCTGTTTTCCATTTGAACATCTTATCCACCAACCGCTGATAAGTAGCTCCCGCATTCTTTAATCCAAAAGGCATGACAACGTAGCAGTAGGTACCCTTGGATGTCACAAAGCTAACCCTCTTCTGGTACTCCTCGGCCAGAGGGATCTGGTGGTACCCCTGAGAGGAGTCCATCATGCTCAATAACTCGCACCCAGTCGTAGACTCGACGAGCTGGTCGATACGTGGTAGGGGGTAATGATCTTTAGGGCAAGCTTTGTTGAGGTCCCTGAAGTCTATACACATCCTCCATTTTCTTTCCCCCTTGCGAACCATCTTCACCTTCCTCAAAGGCGACCTTCCCAATGCCACAGTCAAACTAACTTCACCAACGGGACGGACCTCACTACCACTAAAGCCATAGAGGGCAGTGTGGACCGGCTCGACCTTCACGTCTAACTCCATCTGTTGCAAGCATTTCAAAAAAATGATGTCTGCCGAGATCCATGTGTCTATGAGTAACCTCTGCACATCGTAACTGGCCACCTCCGCAGTGATGACCAAGGCATCATCGTGCAGGACGACAAGCCCCTACACATCGTCAGCCACAAACTTCAAAGTGGCCAAGCTCCTCTGCACCTGTACCTCAGCCACCTCATTAGCCACACCCTTATCCCGGTAGGTCCTCTTCCTCTCTCTATGTGAGTCTCCATCCGTAGGACCTCCCACGATCATGTGTATGACACCTTTCTTCACTGGTCTGTCAGGCTGCTCATCAGTCCTCCACCTCTTGTCCCCTGACTCACGCCCGTCCTGGCGATCTTCTTGGCGTTCCCTATCCTTGATCACGAAATTCTTTAAATGACCGGCCCTAATGAGCCGCTCAATCTCATCCTTCAACTCTCGACAAAAGTTAGTAAAATGACCATAGTCTCGGTGGTACCAACAATATCTGTCCTTTGATGCTGAAAATTTTCGTGGGGGAGGCAAAGGCTTCGGTAGCGCCAGCAACTTGTCCTCCCCTCGTTTCTTCATTGTCTCCAGGATCTCCTGCTACGGCGCATTGAGTGATTTGTAATGCTCGTACCTTGGTCCCCTGAACTGATCCTCGACCCTGGATTCCTTAGGGACCGCACGACGCCCTGTCGTGGCTTATCTTCGACCTGCTTAGCCTTTGTCTTATCATTCCGGATGAAGTCCGCCTCTGACTCCTCCATATTCACATATTTGCTGCACCTCTCAAGTAGCTTATCAGAGGACCTCGTTGGCCTTTTCGCCAATGAATCCCTACATTTCCCAAGCTCAGGCCCCGCGTAAGACCTCCAGCTTTGATTTCTTCCGAGGCAGAGGGGACCTCCATGCACTCCTTAGTGTACCGCGTACATATTGCCGCAAGGTCTCCCCTTCCTTCTGCTGCATATTAATCAACGAGAGGTATGTCTTCTCGTGCTTCCTGGCACTCGCAAAATGATTCAGAAACAAAGAGCTGAACATCTCAAAGCAATCGATAGATCCTGCTGGCAGCTGGTGGAACCAATCTTACGCCGACCCCTTTAATGTCGTCAATAAGGCTCGACAACTCACAGCATCACTATACATGTGCATCACGGCTATGTTGTCAAACGATCTCAAGTGCCTGGCTGGGTCCGCCGATCCATCATAGGACAAACTCAACTCCCTGAAGTTGCTAGGCAAATACCCTCCTAGGACATCCTCTGCAAAAGGGTGTCCTCGCAAAACTACAGCTCTCTTACCCTGCACTCGCGCTTGGAGTTCCCGCATTTGAGCTGCCAACCTCTCTAATGTCAACCCCTCCGGTTGTGTCGTCGCCACCGGGCGAGTGGTCACCGACCTGGCATCATCCTCATCGCCCCTCTCCACACGCTAGTACTGCTGCTGATGCGAGGGGACCTTTTGTTGAGGTGGTAGTGGCTGCCGTGGCGGAGGTTGTCGAAACGACTCATTAGGAGCTCTCTTATCCACCTCTTGCGCCCGGCCTATCGCCTCGGCAATGATCCTGTCCAAATCTGACCTGGTCATCTGAATAACCGGGTCCTCCCGTGGTGCCGAAGAAACCTTGTTCCCCGGAGAGTTTTGTGCTCCTATCACGGCCAACTGTCTACCACCAAGGGCGCCATTCTGATCACCAGCACCTCCGGATTCCGAAACTCCTTGATTCACCCTCCATCAACCGTGGCGCCGACCTCCTTCTTTTTGTCTGTCAAACCACCCGATCCTCCCGAGTTAGCCGCGCGCCTCTGAGCTTCTGATGGTGGTATAGGGGTCACGCTTGGGCATAGCAGCGTCTCTTTGGGGGTGACAGGCGATGGTGACCATCCTGGCAGGGGACCTGTCCCGAAGTCCCTCCGTGCCCACTCCTCATCCATGTTCTTAGTCAAGTTCTTCTTCGAATTATCTCCCGCCATGACTCCTATCGTTCTTCTTTTTTAGTGAGAAAAAACAGTCTTTCGAACTCCGGTAGAAGACTGAGAGTCCCCACAGACGACGCCAATTTGTTATACCACAAATACTTGAACCGCTGGACTGCTCCTCTCGAACTGGGTTGTGTCTCCTTGATCGTCGGTACCTGAAAAGCACGCCGGGGGTGGTCCCGGCGCGAACACTCCGACGCTCAAGTCAGTGATGGTCTAGAGAGAAAACGGCAGAGTAACGAGACAACTCGTGTATGTGTGTTGTGTAAAATAAATGAACCTGCTCCTTTTTATAGGAGAAGTTTGGAGAGTCCTCATGAGACAAGAAGTCTTCTTCATGTATATCTCTTAATTAGGTCAAAAGATTATGAATCCATAGAGTCCCTGAAGCTGTGAACCTCTTCATGACTTGAGCACAAGACTACCTCCGAGCTCTAGTCCCATCGACAAGGCCCTTTGGCTTAGCCGCTCGAGTTCCACGGTACCCAGCTGCCTAGATAGGTCGTCGCACCTCAAGAGGTCGTCGCACCTCAAGAGGTCGTCACACCTCAACAGGTCGTCGCACCTCAAGAGGTCGTCGCACCCTGGTGACACCTCTGATGATACCCCTGGTGGTACCTCTGGTAGTACCCTTGATGACATTCCCGGTACCCTCTCATACGATAGTGACGACCAAATCATAGCCGGTCCGAGCATGGCCATTACTAATGGTCGTATCACAACCGGTCCTTTATGAACAATTACAGACGACCACATCAATTGCTTTACTAGCAATTATGTATATTCATATTTAGATTTAAAAAAAAAAATAAAAAGAAAAATATTTAGATTTTTATTTTTGGTTTACTTTAGAAGCTGTTTTTTAGTTTACTTTTTTTGGCTCCTTATTGTATGCTGGTTTTACAGATCTGTAGCCTTGCTTGACCCCTCAAATTCTGCATTCCTGCTCGAAGCCCTCGCTTCGATACATGGGTTTTGCTCTTTTCAAAAGCCAAATGTAGTTCGTTCTCAAATACCTGCAGCCTAACCCCTCATGTTCTTAGTTCAACAGATCTCTAGTCTTAACCCCTCATTTTAGTTCGCCCCTTTTTCCAAATTTCAGCAGATTGTTCTTAAAGATCTGAATTGCCAACCAAAAAAA